CTCAGCTACTACCACATCAAACTTTAGCTTGATATCTGTAAAACTGGCTGAGTTATCGCTCTCTTTATGTCTTCCAAAAGTTGGCTGTGGCGGCCATCTTGAATCAGCCTGACTTAAAACGTATCCATACTGTAGATCATTATTTCCTGAAGGTTTCATTAAATTATTTGGTGATTTGTGAGATCAGTAAAAACAGCGTAACGTTTGCGCTGCCTTTAAAACCTGCGATCGCATGTAAACAAAACAAAATTAACAAAAAAAAAAAAAAAAAAAAAAAACCCTGAGGCTGTGGAGCTTCCATTTATGAAAGCAGCCTGTCACAAGACCAACCCGAGCCTCACAGGAATGCTGTTGTGACACATGCACGCTGTTGACACAAGAGTTAAACATTGAACCACACACTCAAACACAAAAAGGGGCGGGAGCTGTAACTGCTGCCGCACCAGTTTCTATTTGTCTTTCCACCGCGGCTGCCCGCGTCCTCCCAACAATCACCAGGATTATCAAAGAAAAGGACTCTGGAGCTGCAGCCAGGTGCCACAGAGTGTAATGATTCACACAGCGGACTGCCTCGCATGTTTAAAGCTTGGCAGAGGTCACCGCGTGTTCGGTGTGTGCGTTGCATGTCATGTGGTGCGGATCTCTGGCTTGGTGCAGCGGGTTCAGCAGGAGTTCAGGACAGATTCATTATTCATGCTCTTCTGTGTACCAAACGAAAAGCACAGAGACTTTTTTTCTCCTCGCTGGAAAAAGTCCAACCACTCCGATTTTCTCGCCTCCGTCAGAATAAATTTGAGTTTTTTGCATTCGCAAACCAAGTCCTGATAAAGTTTGTGTAAAACGATTTAACTAAAAATGATCATTTTTGTTTAGATTAACTATTTTATAAATATAATCTGGGTTTGTAAGATTATCAAATGACCTCATTCTGTTTTTGTTCCTCCTAACTCCTGGAGAACAGGTTAAAGTTGAATGCAGGTAATGTTTTACAGAGAAGGCGGCGCCTTCAGTTTAATGTGTGTTGTCAAAGCTTTGAAAATCCCCGCTTAACAATTCGAGGAAAGCCGAGCCACCTGGAAATCTCATGACTTCCTGCATCTAATTCCAGGCAGAGTTATCGAGCCGTCTGACTCGCAGCTTTTCGTCGAGGGGGTGTAAACACTGAATGTCAGACGTGTTTTTGCCAGAGCCAGGCCTGAATTAGGCATTAGTCCTCATGTAATGCCCGCCGTGAACTGGGAACGCCTCGCCAAAGCCCTGATTATGTTTTCTCCCCGTAACAGATTTATACTTCGACGTGGAAAAAAAGCTGGCCTGAACGCTCCACTCCCTTTTTTTAAAAAAAAAAAAGCCCACATAATGAGAGACGTTAACCGAGCAGCTGGTTGTTTTGATAACCTACAATTGGGTTCTGAATCTGCGCACGCAGAGCAAACAGGGCACAGCAGAGGCATGACAACACCAGGGGAGAATCCAGAACAAAATCCCCCTCTCATCTCGCAATGTGCTGTGTTGGCGGACCGTGACCTCATCCAAAAGTGTACACGCAACCGCCTCGTGCTGCCTTATCTTCAAACCAGCACATTCCAGCTCTCAGAGGCTGCAAAAGAAAGAAAAAACGTCAGTCTGCAAGCTTCTGCTGCAGCGCCAGAAAACCAACGACCARCGAGTTGAACTTTAATTTAAACAAACTGGAAAGTGGAAGGGTTTTATTTAGGTCAGCTGCGGACTGATTAGAGCCGCCTGCTTACTCAGCAGCCCTGCACAAAAGCACAGCTTGCTTATAAGTCTTTTTTTAAACAGACCACAGGGTAGTAAATAGCCACGAGGAGGATCACAACCGCCTCAGCTGATTGGCCCGATGCTCGCCCGACACAAACAGGAAGCCGCCGGTGCGAGGGAGCGGACAAAGAAAAGGAGAGTCGAGCTGCAGAGCGCGGTGGCAAAACAAAGAATGTGTGAAGGCTTGTGGGATTCAGAGAAGAGAGGGAGGGAGGGAGGAACCGTCGTGTTTGTAGCGCGCCATGTGACTCATGGAGGAATGCAGCCGGTGATTCAGGTCTTTGCTTTGTCAGCAGGCAGAGTGCAGAAGATAATGGTGACGACGTGTGAAGCAATAGTTGGGCAAGGAGCCGCAGGATGATGAGGGAGCAGTCGTGTTTACATCTTAACTTTACCCTGAACGCAACCCGATACTTGTTTATACAAACCAAGAGGAATTTATCCCAAAATAAAAACAGTRAAACTAAAATTATCTTCCATGTGAATCCATTTAATCAGCTAGCAGGATTAGCAGCAGCCTTCCTCTCTAATTCAGGAGGATCTAATCAACCTGGGGTCGCATTTGACCTTGCATCCATGCCCCGAGAGGTTGTCTATGCCGTTCTGAACCTTATACATTTTAATAATCATGTCATGTCATGAAACATGACGCTGCTTGAAGATGATTTAAGATCTTTTATCTTTCACGTGGACGTCTATAATCTGTTTTTTCCGCTCCGTGTTCAGTGTAAACACAACCATATTAAACTACCAGTGGCTGTTTGTTCCATTTAAATCGATTGACGAGGTGCTGGAAATCACCAGTTTGAAATATGATTAGAATAGCATATTTTTGTTTGTAACATATTTAAAGCTAAGCTAATTTATCCACGTCTGTATTTGTACAACTAAACATATTTTGCGAAACGTCTGCTCAACTGGTTTGAAGTATATCCTGTTTTAATGTGTGTCATGTTGCGCAATCCAGAGATTACGTAAGTGTAGCAAACAGTGACTAAAATGATTTCACTTCCTTGTTGTTCGACCTAAAAATGGGAGCGTTATACGTGTTCCCCTTTTAAAAAAAATAAACATCTGCCTGTAGTGAAGCGGTATCCGGAAACAGATTTTTATTTATTTGATTTTTAAATAAAAGGATCATTATCAGGTGGTTTATCTTCAAACAAACCGTTGTGTTAAGGCAAAAGCACCGAGTGGAAATAATGACAGACATARCCCTGCTAAGAGCTTTTAGAAAAAAAACCCAGCTCTCATGTCAGCCTACTTTTCCCCTCGCCTGTGCTGTGAAGGTCAAAAAAAAAAAAAAAAAAAGAAGAAGGGAAAGCAGCGCCGCCACCTCTGACTGACTGGTTCAAACAGGCCCTGAGAGGAGGATTAGAGGTGGTGGTGGGGCGTGGTCTTCTGAGCATGCCCAGTGAGGAGGAATGCCGTGTGATGGCAACACAGCGGGCTCTCCCATCTGCTGATGCAGTGTGTGCACCCCCCTCCCCTCCCCCTCTCACACACAACCCCCCCAGGCCCCTTTTTTCCATACAGTCTAGTGAGCAGCCAGATCAATTTACTGCGGAATGAACACAAAGTCAGCGGGTCTGACGCACAGATTCACACGTTCTTTGTGTCCGTCAGCGACACGGCTCTGCACTGCAGCACAGACCAGAGGTTTTACTCATGCGTGCAAAGAAAAAAAAATGGAGACGCAGACTAAAACTAAAACAGCCGATGTATTATTCAGAAAACAGAATCTCCAGCCGAAGCCTCGGCTTTGATCCCTGCTGCACGCAACGCAGAATAACAAGTCGACTGATAAACAGAACAACCGAAACCGCTTCTAAATATTTGTGAAATCCTGCTGAGTCATCGYGCGCATGCACACACACGCACACGCACACACTRGTTCTTTCATTTCTCATAACAGCTATCCGTCAGATTTAAAGAAACAGTTTGGAAAATTTTAGARTTTTGAATGACTGCGTCAAAATTTGCTGAAGAACCCAGAACCGAGTTATTAAAGCTAAAAGAAGCAATTAAAAAAGCTCAAACTAAAAAGTAGCAAAACAAAAGCTAAAGTGGCAAAACGTGAGCTACAAACAAAAAGGAGGGACGCAAGAGCTAAATGCTACATAAAAGCTACAAGGAGCTACACATTAGCTGTAAGGACCTAAACATTAGCTACAAGGTGCTAACTAAGTATAGCTACAAGCTAACAGTAGTGAAAAAAGAGCTAAATGCTTAATGAAGCAAAAAAAAGGTAGCAAAAATATCTAAGTGCTAGCTACAGGGAGAAAGCAGAGATAAACAATAGCTAGTTTAGAGGAGCAAAAAGAGCTACAAGCTAGGAGCGAAAGAGCTAAATGCTACCTAAAAGCTACAATTACAATTACAGTACATTTGCTTCAAGGAGTTAAATCTAGAGCTAAAAGAAGTGAAACAGGAGCTACATGATAAAAGGAACAAAAACAGCTACAAGCTAAAAGGAGCTAAATGGTAGCTACAGGTAGAAAAACAGAGTTAAACACTAGATAAAAGTAGCAAAAGAGGAGCAAAACAAGAGCTATAATTTAAAAGGTGCAAAATAAGAGCTTGAGACAAAAAAGGAGTTAAATGCTTTCTATATGCTACAAGGAGCTAAATGCTAGCTACAGGTAGAAAAACAGAGCTAAAAATTAGCAAAACATATTAAAAGAAGAGCAAAACAGAAGCTACAAGCTAAAACTTACAAGCTGATATATGGACTTGTAGCTACAGTTTTAGCTAAATACTACCTACAATTAGCAAAAGACTAAACCCAAGCTAAAAGTAGCTAAATGCATTCGTAGTAAAGTAAAAGTAGCATAATGTTCTGATAAGAGATACAAGCTAAAAACATTGCTAAAGTTGAGCTAGAAGTTGCAGAAGGCCGAATACATGCTACAAGTAGCAAAACATGAACCTCATGCTAAAAGTAACTAAATGCAAGCGAAAAAGTAGCAAGACTTTGTGCAAGCTAGCAGAAGCAAAACAAAGATCACAAGCTAAAAACAAAGCTGAACACTAGCCACAAGCCTGTTTTGGGTAGAAATAATTCTAAATGTTAAATTTTACTGCTGTTAATGTTTGTAAATGAATTGAAATAAACAGTTTTTCCTCCATAGAGTTATTTATAATGTAATTATCTCATTGTGCTGTGATCGTTGGAGACTCATTGAGTTTCAGTAAGACTTATAAATGATGTTTGACAGGTCTGATGTTTCATGGATGTTCGGCACAAATGCTTGAATAATGAAGGAGCTCCGTCCTAAACACCATGAACCCAAGGTGTCAAAACGATGSAGGAAAAGTGACGCATGAGGGGAATGGACCTGCATGGTAGCAGGAAACACATGGTAAATATTTTTTAATTTCCCAGAGCTGGATGTTAGTGGACGTGTGTGACTCAGTCATATCTGCTCTCTTACATGATATAAATAATTGAAAACATTGTGGAGGATTTAATGCGTCCTTTTTATTTGCGGAGTCACGCCTGCCGCTTTGTGATATTCTAATGAGTCTCTCCTTAAGTAATCGAGCCGATGCCTAATGGCACTTTGTCTGGAGGACGATCAAAGGAAGCAGCAGAGACGAGGAAAAGATGTTCTCTGAGGAGCCAAAACCGATAATAAAACCACTCGAAGGAATTTGCCAGCGTGACGGACGCTGCAGCCGTTTCAGTCACGAAAAGAAGAAATCGAATTTCTGTTTCAGATTCCTCGCTCAAGCCTCAATCTGTTTTTTTTTTCTCAAATGAGATGTCCTTGGCTTTCGTCTCCTTCATCCTCCTCTGCCTCTCAGTGACCCTCAACCTCAAACCATTACAGCCCACTCCACACCCGGCGCTGCAGCCACTCGTCCGCCGCTCCTCGTCTCCGCTTCTCGCTTCGAGGGTTTCTAAATCAGGATTTGCCACCTACTCGTGTGTCTCTGCGACGCTCTGTGACCTCGAGCTACCCTCTCACATCTAAATACAATAATCAAGCTGCTTGTCTTTGTTCAAACCAAACCTACACTAAAGGCCAAAACATCCTTTAAGGAACACACATTGGATACACACTAGGATGATCTCTTTCTTCAAAACATCAGTTGTAGGAAACATTGCGATAACTTGCAGGACATGCTGAAGCTCGTTGCCTTTGTTGTGAATGACACTCAGCTACCACCACGATAAATTTTAGCTCAAAATCTGATAAATTCACCAGCATAACTATTTTTCTGCAAACTGCGGTGCCCATGTTGCATTGGGTTCACTCCAAAAGTAAAATAGTTATAGACGTACACCCATTCTAAAAGGCTAATGGAGCTAAACAAAAGCTACAAGCTAAAGGGAGCTAAACAAAAGCTACAAGCTAAAGGGAGCTAAACAAAAGCTTTGGACTAAAAAGAGCAAAATAAGCTACAAACTAAAAAAGGCTAAACAAAAGCTACAGGATAACACAAGCTAAACAAAAGGTACTGGCTAAAAGATGAAAGATGAGCTACAGGCTGAAGGAAGCAAGACAAAACTACAAACTAAAAGAAGCTAAACAAAACCTACTGGCTAAAAGAAGCTAAATAAAAGCTAGGATCTAAAAGGAGAAAGACAAGCTTTGGACTAAAAGGAGCCAAATAAGCTACAGGCTTAAAAAAAGGCAAAAAAAAAAAAAAAAAAAAAACTGGCTAAAAGAAGCTAAACAAAAGCTACTGGCTAAAAGAAGCTAAACAAAAGCTACTG